TGACAGGGGATCGACACATCGGACATAATTAAATTCTGGTGGGGTGTTATCAATAATTACACCCTTAGAAGCGGAATGAGTAGTGATGCCTGCAGAATTGACAATTAGAGTATGAATGAAATAAGTTGTAGAATCGTATTGAACGGCGCTTCCATTTGTCCTGTCACCAGACATTTTTGATGCTGTCAGGTTAAGATTTTCAATGGTGAATTGCAATATTTCAAACTCTGTCATAGAGGGCTTGCAATCTTGCCTACATCCAATATTACAATTTTCAGCACATTTCTGGCAGAATGAAGCATATAACAAATAATCATCAAATGAAGTATCTGTCTCATTCTCATACTCAGACACCTTAACCCAAAACTCTTGAATAAAACTGTCCTTTTCAAAAAATGACGACCCGAACATACAGGGCTTGTCAGCCGGAATCGGTTCTTTCATTATCTCTATGGTACTACTAGCTTCAAATGCAACAGGAAAATCGATATTTTCTATAGGTGGCACGTATTCATTTTCGTTCCAGTTATAGACACCAAATGTTCCATATTCTTCAAATCGCAAGCCATTAAATTCTGCAATCTGTTCAGATTGTATGAAATATTTAACATTCCAGACATTTTTTCCAACAAATGTGCTGTTTGTTAATTGGATGGTATATTCTACATTTGAAACGGTTGGGTCAAAGTCTATTGGTATTTGTCTAGATGTTGAGATGTACTGGTCGAATACCCATACGAAAACAAACCACTGCTTATCTTTTGTGTATCCTGGTATGTGAAATCCAAAGCCGAAAATATCGTTTAATCCTAAAACAGAACTCTTTTCGACATTTGATGTATGGTTTATATTTTTGGACATGCCGGAGTTCACTGTACTTTTATTCAACATTTTCGAATCATTTAACATTTCCATATTGGAAGTTTCAAAATTTGTTATGTTTGAAAAGGAATCAGATAAAGTATTGTTTAAATCATAATCAATGTCAGTTTGATTTTCTTTAACTTGAAAATCTAATTCTTCTTTAACAAATTGACTTCCAGTTGCAAGAAAAATTGAAGTCACCATCCGTTTACCTCTAGCAGTTGTGAGTTTACTGGAATAATTTCCTGCTATTATTTCTTTCTTTATCGATTCTACACCTCCTTTAATGATGCCACGTAAATTATCATCATGACGGATTTCAATTTTCACTTTTGAATCTGACATAATGACACATTCAGTTCGGAAACGTCCTTTCATAGGTTCCAGTTCATTTTGTGCGTCCAATGGTCTTTGACTTTGACACTGATATGCCATTTCGGAATGTGCTAATGCGATTGTTCCATTTAATTTATCTGTAAAAGGCTGGAATGCAGCTTCTTTGAACCAGCTGTCACCAACTTTAACTGTTCCTTTCGTCGGTGGAGTTGTATCGCATTTGATGTATTCCGACAAACTTGAAGTCTGAAGTCCAGCTTTACTTTTAGCTGTCACTTTGACAATGTATGTTTTAAACTGCTTCAGAGATAATTCATAAAACGTAATTTTGTTCTCAGTTTTGACAGTTACAGCTTTTTCTGGTGTATGAATATCTGTATTTTTTTCTGGGTCACTACCGTCATCATAGCATGTTGTTGAAGAATACAACTTTATTTCATATTCCAATATACCAGATTCGTTATCTTGAAATCCATTCCATTCAATAGTTATCTGATCATAATGTTTGATGTAAACAATATTATCAGAATATTTTCCTTGGATGGTAACGTTTCCCTTTTCAGGGGGTGATGTGTCAATAATGACCGCTTTGCCAGTGCTTCCAACACATTTGCCTGTAACATCTGCTGCAATAACAGTGACGAAGTAACTGTGACCGTGAAGAAGAGATAACTGTTTTAAATTTTTGAAAGTGTCTTTCCCCACTCCTTCCATCTTCTTGGTGTTAAAAACCTCATCGAAATCCCTAAATGTATAACAGTCATGTGTTCCATTAGGATATAATGGCGGTCTTGATGAAATACCAACCTCAAAGTGATCAATTCCCATATCTGCCTCAAAGCCTGACCAGGAAACGGATATTTTGTCAGTCATATATTGGGCAGCATTATATTCGATATTACCTTCTGTTAACACCTCTCTGAAACCAACCTTAATTCCATCAGAAATCCCATCTTGGAAACTTCCAGCTTGGCTATATGCCCGAACTGTTGCGTAATATGTCACAGTTTTTGATGTAAGGTTAAGTCCTTTGAAAACATAATTGTTTGAAAGTCCTGCGTCAAGAAAATAATGAACATTACTTCTAGTCTCTTCGAATCGAACATCATTTCCCAGAGCAACCTCGTACCTGACAATTCTTTCTGTTGGATCTTTACTATTCGGTTTACCAAATGAGTCCCAATTGATCTGCAATTCGTTAGTTGACTCTTGATAGTCCAAATCGTCGTCCGATCCATCCCTCACGGTTGCAGGGGTTGGAGGTTGAATTTTTACAGCCAGACCATTGGATCTACTCTCACGAACCCTTCCAAGTACATCAATGGTTCTAATAATGTTTATATAAGTGACGCCATTTTGTAGGTCTATTAGATCCGAATAGAAATGATGTAAGGCGGATGGCACAGGTTGAAATTTTTGAATTACTTTACCGTCGATACTTTCCACTCCCCATTCAACCGATTCGATGTGACAATTATCTGAATATCGCCAATTCCCCTCAATGGAAGACAGTGACTTCTGGTAGTCTATATCAATTTCCGTTGGACCATCATAAACATACAGTTTGGGATTTGGACTTATAATGACTGGATCGGATTTCACTTGTCCATACAGCCCTGCTTTATTGAACGCCCTTACAGTCACTACGACCCTACTTCCTGTTATCATATCAAGATTAGGAATTAATATGACGTCATTTATAATCCAATTACTAAATTTGAGAATATTGGTAGATTTTCCATCACACCCAACAGCTACTTGATACCTAGAAGAAAAAATGAAAATAGAACAGGTAGTCAAACAACTAAAATACTAAAATCTGGTTTAAAAAGAGAATTCAAACTAATTTTATTTCACGCTTATAACAAAACAAATGCTTTTTTTTTAATTCTGTATAAGTTTCTAAGACTTAATCTTTACATAGTAAAAGGGAAGAATATTGTTTTTGACCTACTAGTATTACATGCCTAAACTTTAGCAATTATCTTTTTTCCCATAATCACAACAAAAATTATCCCTCACTAATTGCCACATATTGTCTTCATTTGCAATAAATTTACAATTAACTCGAGCATGTAGCGACTTGAAAACGCTGGAAAGGAGATGACCCCCCCCCCCCCAAACCTTACACATGCAATTAGGAAAATGTGTTCAGTATATAATTTTTAGAATAAAGTAAATAAATTGTTAGGCCATTATTTACACACTGAATTGTGTAAGGATTTTCCCGTTAATTTCCCGATCATGACAAGAATCACACGGCGGGTATGACCAGTCGGCAGGGGATGCAAACTCCTGCATGGCACTTGATCCCATATCTGATGTTTTGTAGGTCCGAGTTTGTTCAGCTCCAAAATTTTTCATTCTTATCAAATGGATTCTTGTACTTGAATACTGTTGTGTTCGTTATCTCCACATATTTCATATAATGGCCATAGGTCTGTTTGTCTTGAAGATATGAGTTCATAACTCAGCCATGATTTCGTTTTAATTAAATCATAACTCTGGTTATACTTTTTATTGATTACAATAAAAAAAATTAAAAACATTGCTTTAAATATTGTTTTCAAGAAAGTTCTATCGGAAGGCTGAAATCGAGCAGGGAGACAGCTTTCTAGTAGAAAAAGAGAAGGATAACGGATAGTGATTGATCTCAAAATAATCTTTAAACAATAAAAAATCGTGGACTTGGAATAAAAACGGCCCCCTGAACTTCCATAGGACTCCATGGTGTCTTTTTATCACATTTATTTGAATTTATAAACTGAAAATTACTGTTGTTAATTAAGCAATTAAAAAATAATGTAGTCATAAAATTAATGTAATATGGAGATATCGAATATTAATCAAGTTAAAAAGACAAATGAAAAATACAAATTGGGAGCAGAGTAAACATTGACCTCTAAAACACCAGAAAACGATGAAGTGCCATATGCATGGAGTAGTAGGCATTACCTGTTGATCGATCACATCTGCTGTGTGTGTATTCCTTGTCATCGTGCAAATGGAAAGTTTATATACAATCGATGACTGTTTTAAGATTCTTTTCCACTTCAAAATGGAATAGTTTACCTTATATTCATTTCATCCCCCGAAAATATAAAGGTATCATAAGAAGAATATGTCCCAAAGCTTCAAGACATACTGAGTAATCAATAACGATTTTCTAAAGCAAAAGTGTAAAAATGCTGCACTAAATGTTTTAGATTCGAATAATTATTTTTATTTTAAATAAAATCAACCATATTCTTCATGATGTTTTGGGACTTTTTTACTCTTTACTTAAAATCATAAAATCATAAAACAAGTTTTGGATGATGGAAAACCAAACCATTGCCTTGGAGGATTGTGACTTATAGCAATACGTAGTGCTTAACATAATTTCAGATTCAGTACTGCTCCTAATATAAGATATACAAACCTGTCAATTCCAGATTCAGCATCTCCCCAGCTGGCAACTCGAGCTTCTAAATATGTCTGGGGAATTTGGCATCGTTGAACGTTTCTTGATGCATTTGTTGCTGCAGTTGTGGTCACAATTTGTACAATTCCTCCAGATGGTGGAGTTGAATCCACGACTATTTTGAAAGATTTGTAAGTCTCTAAACCAGCCAAATTTTGCATTTTAACTATTATATGAATATGGGCAAAGTTGCCATTCTTTAACCTCAAGCGAAGATCTCGAGTCCAGCTTCTCGTCAGTTTTGAAAATGTATGGAATTCTGATATATCCGGATAGGTTTCGTTCCTACCGATGCCAATAGCAGTGTTTGCTAAAACACTTTCCCATTCTTCTATCATAGCCCAGGTGCAGACGACTAAGGACTTACGCAAAGAAATAAAGGGAGTACATGTGAAATTGTGAATTTCAGGAGGAGTGGTATCAATAGTAATCGGAGGTGAAGACGTAATCATTTCATTTCCAGCTTTATCCTTAGCACCAACATTGACATAAAATGTTTGTCCATGAGACAATTTCAAAAATCCACTAGGAATAAAATTGTCCATGGTGTTAATTTTCTTCGAAACATCTTCTTGTTTTGGAAGGCTTCCAATCGACCACCACGATTCTGAGATCTTTGACGAATCCTTGATCTTCCACTTTAAATTGACAGAATCCATACTGGTCTGATAGAGAGGCATTGAATTTGGCGTAATTGTGTTTTCTTCATAGCTCATACCAATCTGCGGTTTTGTGGTGTCTAATTTGATACCATCGGAACAAGATATGACGTATTCACCCATTGGGCAATTGAAACCAGTTTTTGCTCGAACAGTTATGAAATATGTGGAACCCTCGTATAACGATAAATGTATTTGAGCCTGACCAAAGGTTTCATTATGCATCACAATTCCATAGTCGGTAAACGGTAAAACATCGTATGTAAATGGCTTGTATCCAATGGCCCATTCATACTGAATAAGATTACATGCCTCACTTTCGAACCCATTAAAAGACATGGCTAGTGATGTTCTATCATAAGTAAAGTCTTCATCGGATAACGCTTCACGTCCATCGTACACGGTTCCGGGTACATTACTCTTCATTACGTAAACTGGTTTTGAATTAGCTTGTAATGACAACAAACCTGCACCATTCATTACTTTTACCATTACATAGTAATACTGGATTTCTGTGTCACTGATCGATGAAGGAGTTAAGGAAAGACTATAATATAATCGGAAGAAAAATTAAGAAAAAACATGTGCAGTTATGATAAGGCTGTCCGAAGGCTTAAAATGTCTAAAAAATATATATACATTTTATTTTGAGCTAGATTTTAATTTCAATATGTTATCTTTGTTTGAAATTATAGTCAACTTGAGATAAAAGTTTAATCAGATATTGTAATAAAGCATATCTGTGATGTCAGATGACTGTGTTGATCACGTGACGGACATTTTTGATATTCTTAAATGTTGAACAAAAATCGCATCGGCACAAGTGCATAACACAATTATTGTGCAAAGTTTGTTACATAGATCTATTCATCGTGATCCATGATACCTAAAAAGTGCTGGGGGCAGGTTTAATTTTTTCTTCTTAAGAAAATATTTTACGATAAATTAAAATTACCAACGTAAGAAGGGGTATTTTCCACTGTTTATCGCGATTTGTACAAAAACGGATAAACTACATACGATCCCCCAGCAAAATTCAGTTAGAAGACATACTTCTCTTTTAGATTCACGCAGAATATCTTCAATTTATCCTTGTTTTTTACTTGTGCTAGTCCTATATAAACACGATTCATAACTTCTAACTCTGTCTACGGAAGTGTTAGGGGAGCGTTTCAAACATAATTTTTTGCTATTGCTTGAATATATACATATCGGACAAGCAAAAGGAATAGATATATTTAAATATCAAATGTTAAACATTATAACAACACACACAGGCTTAAAAAACAAACCCTACTCTTGAATTAAACACAAATCCCCATAATAAATCTACATGCTGTGTAATAATTATGACACTTTCCCCGTTATGTCAGCTCAAGTATGCAGTGACGACCTCATATTCTATAATGACGTCATATCTAGGTAGTTCAGAGAAGCTACTACAGTTTGAACAGTTTGATATTTTACGGGCAGCCTTATCCTAGCTGCGTGAATGCCTTAAAATTATTCAATATAAGTAATTTCAGCATATTTAACAATCAAAATGTTATTAGAAAAAGATTAAATACTCAGAGAGCCGCGCCACATTTCCATCGTCAAATTCTTTGAACCCATTCGTTATTGATGTGTCGTTGGTATTAAGTCCAATTGCTACCCATGCCTTCACAATTCCACTCTGATAGTCTTCAGCTCTCCAACTGACCGTCATCGCAGACTGATCTGCATGCATCACTTTTCCATCTTCTTCTTCCTCCTCGACCTCTGGTAGTCCGATATGAACCTAAAAATGTTATTATACATTTACAGATCCTAGTTCTTTAAATCTAATATTTATCAAATCTGTTGAAATTTAAAAATAAAAATCAATCAGGCATTAAGTACATATATACTGAAACACAAAAGAAACACAACAAGCAGTGAATTACAAATGTTTGAATTTTTTAACTTATGATTTTCAAAAAAGAATACAGAAGGCTTAACTCACTTTTCAGAACATCGGAGATTTGATATAAATGTTAAATGTTTATCTTTTAACTTTACTAAGTACCATATTACTGTTTAAACACCCCTCGCAGCAATTCAATTACAACGTTCAAGATTGTCCCAAACAACAATTGCAGCTTTTTTATTTTTATTTTTTTGTCTTTTATTCAATTGCAGCTTAATTTCTACGATTCAGTAGGTTAATCAATATCGAGATCTCAGCGAAGGAATTATTCTTTGCCATTTTTAAATGCCTGTTTTTCAGAGAATTAGATCGAATTTTCTCAAACTTAGCGCATTGTAGTAACCCTTGGACTTCCGGTCCAAGGACTATCATTTATGCATATAATACGTAAGACCCCTTGAGGCGTAATGTAGTGTATTTTTGAGATTTTCCAGCTAGAGCAATAGAAATGCGTACTTAAGCCTTTTTTCAAGAAGCCTTAGCATCATTACGGGAAACGAAAGGAGATTTTATTTTTTGAAGTACAAACTCCATAATATTGCCAAATGTTTTGGTAAACATGCAATTTTCGATTTCTGTTAAGCAGACCGAAACTTGACTTCCGGTTAAGGTATAAAAATCATTCAACCGTTAGATTACCGATATTTACCAAATTGAAGATATCCATAATTTTAAGATACAAAATTCTTTACTTTACATAATTATTTCCCCCTGAAGTAGGGTGTTGTGTTTCTTTTGCGTTTTAGTATAAAATCAGAAATACACATTCAGAGTTCAAAATTTCGTCGAAATGCAGTACAAACTAGAGGTACTGTGAGCAGTGATTTTTGAAAGATTATTATTTGTTGTTCTATTCTTTTTATAGACTTATAGACAGAGAAGGTATATCACCAAGGTACACATTGGAATGATGATATTCGAATTCTATACTTTTTGTGTTTAGGGACCAGCTAGCACAAAAACATTTTTTAAATGTTCTTAAAAAGATTTATAGTGGGAGAAAACAGAGAGAATGCAAATTAAGAAGTTTTTTTTTACCTGTGAGATGACTGGGGCTGATGTATCAATCATCACGCCATCTGATTCATGTGATACAGGCATGTCTGCATTATTGATAGCAACAATTTTGACGAGATACTTTCTTCCATTTTGCAAAGAAAGACCAGATAAAGTAATATTTTCTGCATTGGTACGAATAAAATCTTCGTTTGTCGGGTAGAATTTAAGTTTCATGCCTTGATGCACTTCAAATACTGTTAGACGATATTGTTTTATGCCTGACTCTGGGTCTAAGAATTTCCAGGCATATGAAAGGGACTGAGAGTCACTTTGAAAGGATAGTCCATTTTTTGTGTCATGAATGTATTTCAAATTTGGCGGGGTTAGATCAATAATAAATCCACTTGATTTCATTTTCACTGACAATCCGGCTCCATTATATGCCGTGACAAGTGAATAAATGTGATCTCCTTGAGCAAAACTCATCGAGAAATCATCGAACGCGTTTTTAATACCAACGTCAAAAGTTCTAGTTTTTACATCATTTACGAAAACATCTACAACGTAATGATTTATTTCACTTTCTTCATCTGAGAAGTTTCCCCATCTTGCTGCTATCAAGGCAGATTCAGAGGAGAAAACCTGGTCCTTTTCTGGGTCATCTCCATCATTAACCCATCCAGCGTTTGGTTTAGTCATATCCACAAGAACTAAAACAAATCCCAAAAGAATAAAAAGTAAACATTTTTTACACGTATTATCTCGTTTTTCAAGTCAATTGAGAGTTACCTCCATTGGATGATTGCTTGATGGTTTTTGAGTTCAGTGCACTATTTTTTGCTTCTATGACAGAGTAGTAAGTTGTATTGTGAGCAAGGTTTGCAAAGGAACATTTGTTTTTAGTGCCTCTAGATAATGTTTCCATGGCAACGATGTCATCAAGCCCCGGGAAGCTTCCAACACCCCAGTGATATCTACAAAACCGTATATTTTCAGAAAAAAACGACAGTAGGTTAAAAGACCGTTTGAGTAAATTTGACATTTTTTCACATTTACCATTTTGTATATCAATACAGCCACCAAATTGTATATTTTGCATTTTTAATTACATATATCACAAGTATATATAAAAATATTAAATATATGTATATATTGTGAGGTACTCTTCGATTCCAGATTCTGGGTCATAAAAGCCCTTCCAGCTTGCACATATCCGATTATTTTCAGGTTGATAGGTTTGATCTTGTCCGAGAGTACTTCCATCCAACACCTCCCCTGCTATAGGATTGGTTCTATCAATAAGTATAGGGTCATCGCTATGCCCAGCTTTTGACAATTCGACTACAAGGAAAAAAAGCTTACTTATCTTTATAATAATTATTATCAATGATGGTGTATAATCTGGTTACTAGTATTCGAATCAAAATCTAGAAGGAGGTACATAGCAGCGTGACAGATTAGTAGGTATACAAGTAATTGATTTAAAATATACCATTATTGACAGCTCTAAGTCTTAACCAAGCCGGTTCTCCATCTGTTATGTTTAGATCAGTTATCAAAATGTAAGGGTTCTCCCTTTTTGGATACGATATTTCCGAATAACCTCGAACCTCCACGTCATGTTTTGTTTTTCCGAGTCCAAAATCAATCCGCGACAAGAATGATTCTTTGTCTTCTGCTTCAAAATATATGGCCATAATATTGAAGTCTTCGTCAAATAGTATATCGGAGACACCTTTAAATAAAGGAGGTGTTGTATCAACAACTATAGGGGTTGAGTGACAAACAGTGGTTACTAGGGAACCACCGTGAATCACGTTGTTGATGGCCTGCACGGTGGTATAATATTTTCCGTCAGGAAGATGTATATCTCGAGCATATCCCGTATATGTCCAAAACTTTTTGTCTGAAAGATGTTTATGAGGATTTACGTAATCAGAAATATCTGTCCCACAGATGGTACTGCCAAATGCCCACGTATATCCAAAAATTCCGCTTTCTTTATCAGTGAAAGGTCTCCAGTTAGCTGAAATAAATTCATATATCAATAAATGGTAAAGATTCGAAATAAGACTACAACACTGAAAGTCTCTCGTTATATATTTCTCTTCTAATTTTCTTATTAAAAAATTACATGGTGATTAATCAGCAAACCACCTGAATAAATTCCCAGAGCAGTTCTTATTTCATCAATTAAACGGACAATGGTGTCCATTTCAAAAATATGATATTTAACGTTTTTAATTCTTTTTACAGAAATAAATATAAACAATACAATGCCTTTCTTTGTTACTTGGTACAGGAAACAAAACTGCAGCGATTGCGGAAAAAACATAACACGCTTTTGGGTTTAAGATATTTTCTTCAACAGCTTCAACAATTCCCATACTAACAAACCAAACCACTTTATTGTTTAACGTAAGATGTACCTGATGCAAAATGATTTGTCAATGTGTATCGTGTCTCCACTTGTGGGTGATGTCCATTGTAAACTGTTTCTGCATCTTCCCCGTCTTTAATTTTTCTAAAATAAATAGTTTGTATAAATTCAACAATCTTACAAAGAGTGTATTGTCGTACTTTTATTAAACTTTTGAAAAAGTAACCTGTGATTGTTCTTCCATGTAACATCTTCACATCTTTGAATTATTGATGCCTGGCATTTGTCAGCTGAAAGTTCATCTTGGATTGCATTCCCTATGAAGTGAGGTTCTGGTGGAGTAAAGTCAACGATGGTTCCTTTGGATGACAATAGACTTTTATACATTAAAACGTTTGTAATCTCTGCATTTAGGAAATATCTTTCGCCATGCAATAAAATAAGATTGTGTTCAAATGAATGTGTGCTTCCAAGGTCTGATCGTTCAAAATGTTTGTAAGTACCACTCAGTCTCACATCTGCAAGTGGTCCTTCAATGACGGAGTGAAGATCACAAATTTCAGAATGGAACTCGTAGTCAAACGAAATGCATTTTTCACCAAAATTTATGCATTCTTCTGCGCAATCAGTATGATCTGTCGCTTTAAGTGATTTTAGTGGTTTAGATGTGAGTTTTCCTGTTTTTCCATTTCCAAATGACCCAACATCTTTAGCTTTCGTAGCTACTTTCGAAAAGTTGAATAAGGACCAGTCAAGGAACTGATTGCCATTGTAACCGTTTGAGAGTCCAATAGCATATGTATGGTTTATCATCAGAGGGGAGTCATCAAACACGACTATTTTAGCACCAATCTTATGTGGATGACTTGTGTAATCATACTGTACATCCATTCGTCCGTCTGGGGGTGTATTATCATATGTTTTAAGAGTACACTGTGTTGTTCGGGACTGATGATCGGTTGTTGTTCCTTTAACTGACCAAAACAAGGGAATACCATTGGGTAAAGGAAGTGGTGCCAAAAGACCAGGTTTTGTCAACTTAGACCAACCTAAGGCGTCCGTACCGCCAGGTGTGGTACCAATAGCGTAGGTGAGAGAAAGTTCTCCTAGTGAAGAGCTTAAGCCAGTAGATAGGATAAATGCGGTGTTCGTTGAATCTCTCCTTGGAACCTGGTACACATTACAGCCATCAGTAACACCTCTCTTTATTCTACGGCCTTGCTTGAAATATGAGAAAGACGAACTTGAACCGTCTATGATGCTAGGTTTACCATTTTGTTTCGTGTATCTGAACACAGTAGCATGGTAAGGAAATAACTTAAAAGTCCATATGTTTTGGTCAAAAATCTTTTTCTCCCAGAAAAGTAGGCGGAGATAGACAACTACGCTGAGTCTTAATTCCAGTGGGACGACGTCCAAGTCAACAGAATAGCTAAAATAAAAATCGAAGAGAGTGTGCTTTCAGAACGATTTCAATTTTCAGTTTGGTCTTATGGAAAGGGTGATATGGGTAAGCTTAGTTAAACATCTGAAGTATAATAATACTATCATTAAATTTTAAAAAAAATATACTTTAACATAGGAAAATTAGAATGAGACAAAGATAGGTGTTCTAAAAGTAATGTCACCAGTAGTATTTACATATTTTTCAATATATGTGAGCAATATTGTGTCTTGCAACACACTCACGGGTACTTGTTGACAGGACCCCCCCCCCCCCCCCCCGCAGTTATTCAACCCCGGGCTTGTTGACCCTTTTCACAAATTATATTAATTTATCACACTTTTTCATCTTGTGCACCATAGGAAATAATCGTGAAAACCCCAAATTAATGGTTTAAAAAACCACAGTATGTATAAGAGAGAAAGGTACGGCACTCCGGTCTCCGTCTCCGGTTTGTTAATGTTGTACGCCCACTGGTCTTTCTGGGTTTGAAAAACGTATTTATTTTATTTTGAACCTAAAGTATGGATTCGTACTGTATCTACATATATTTCTGACTTAGTTCATGCTATCGGATTGACTTTGCATTTCGTAATTAAGTATCCCACAATTTTTCCATTAACAGCATTCTAGTCAAAGCATTGAAAAATCCTTACATAAGCAATAGTACCTCAATAAAAATGGTGAATTTCATTGCCTCTGGTTAAAAACACGAGCAAATTCAATTGCTGGAAGGTTGTAACATTATACTCAGTAGATTATTTTGAGCCAATTTTTGAGTTATGTAGTAAACAACATATGAAAAGCAATTTGGATTAAGTGAGCCGACACGCTCTTCCTGGAGTGATCTTACTCTTAATATTTCCTACCGATTCAGCTTGAGAAATATGTAGGTAATATTGGAATGTTACAACATGGGTAAAGAATATTGACGATTGAAAAGTATTTTCATCATAAAGTTGTGTCTTTAGTTGGTCATTATTAAGGTCTATAGTTAATAAGACATAAAACAGATGTAGCAGACCCTGTGATGTCTTTTATTTCGAGCTTGTTTTATAAATAGAGTAGAATATTCAATAACACTTTTCATACAATTGTCAAGCAATAAGTTCATGCTAAAATGTCTACGGATTGCTTGTGTGAGAGAATGAAAGTTTGTGTGTTTTTAATTTTGAGTTTTATTTCAATTACCTCAGGGTCACAGGGGGTTTGTTCCAATTCACTGAGGCGGATATATCGAGCGATATTTGTAGAACTCGTCCTTCTATACGAATACCACCGAATGCAACTAGTATGTCAACACCAAATTCACCATAGGCTACTCCCCCAAGGTGAGCAGTAATACCAGACTTTAAAAAATGAAGAATGAATCAAATGTAAAACACAAATACATACAACGTACTAACATTTTAAAATTTGGTAAACATGAAAAAAAGGGGACGAAGGATGTATGGTCACATGACACAGTTTAATTACGTCATAATCTCTGATAAAACATGTACAAAACAAGATTGAAACCAAAGTTCTTGTATAATATTTGGACTGTTTGTTAGCTTTCACCATCTTGTAAAAGAATATTTAAAATATTCCTACTTTCTTGCAAATATTAATTATTAAAGTACGGAAAAAATTGATCCACTCTTCCCTACACTGCGCGTCCAACGAGTCGTTGACGTCATATAGTGGATCTCTTAGTACAGTAAGATTATACACAGTGAAACACGGGTTGTATGATATCATAAAAACGGGCCATGATCAGTACATGGTGGGGTATTATTTGAATTTGAACACAAAAAATATTTTTACATTGTTATTGACGGAAATATTTTGTAGGTATGTCTTATTTCGCTTATTTCGCAAATGTGTGACGTCATATTTGGGTTTTCCCGTACTCGAGAAATGTAAACATCACCCCTACTAATGTGTTCGGAACCTTTTATTTTTCGGTGTTCTGCAAATTGTAAAACACGATGAGTTCAGAGTAGCTCTGACAGTGGCTCTGGCGAGAGTTAGCGAGACCTCAGCGAGATAGGGTAAATTATTCACGGAAATGTTGCTAGGAAGTGGAGGCAAAGTAAACAGAAAAGTTATGTTGCGTTTCAGTTTTCACCACCCTAGAATCAGCTGATAATATCTGTAGAAATGTACTTCAATCGACCTCTCTTACATTCATTCAAACTTAAATAAGTATTCTCTATAATACAATTTTCTGCAGTCATGAATTAAAATTTCTTTTTGGACAAACATTTTTGCATTGGAACCGGGACTATATTTTTGGCGTCAGATTAGGAAATGAGGCACCAGCATGATTTTAGCTGTCGAGTGACCAATCAGCTGAATGAGTATTGCATTATGGGTTACTACGAATACTACAGGAATGTTACGCATGAAAAAAAGGAAAATGTTATAGTAAATGAAAAGCATTTTTAAAAATATTATTTTCATGCTCATAATGACAAACAATGCATTTGTTAAATAAACGGTGGAAGTCTAGGTTTCTGAAAATCGTACTTCAAAAGCGATTTGCGTGTGTATTAATTCCTTTGTTGTACTATTGGTGAATACAATTGCCAGGTGGGTTCCCTGGCAGAACACGTGATCACGAACGTAAACAAAGTTTTGTCCATTTAAATACATAAGAGATGATGCTCGTTTTCCTTACCCTTGAAGCGCTGGTGTTCTGAACTAGACACAAACTACATTTTATTAAACTTTTTTTTTCAGTTAACAACAAATTAAATACGCTTGTAACATCTTTCATAGTTTCTTATCTTTGTATTTTGTTCGTAAGAACATTTTTTTTATTTTGCAGTCCATTGACATGATCCTAGATTGACCTGACGTGTTCGAAGTAAAATGTAAACATGTATATGGCGCAAGCGTTGCTATTCATTCAACGATTGGTCAGTTGCTCGTGGTAAGATCCTCTGTGCGCATTTATAACAAAAGCCACATAAGGCAAACAAAGGTTTGACAGTGTAGATGATACTTAGTAATTCACATTTTTTACCAGCGAATTGGTCACTAGTGAGCTCTTCTTTTCGCCGAAAAGTATAAGATATATTGTTATTTTAACATCCCCTTCTTTAGCCACCCTTTTTCTGTTGAAAATCATGCAAGTCTTTCGGAAAGGTCTGGAAACATTTATTACAGGACATGTTTTCAAAAGAAACAAGCTATAGCAATATCATGTTTACTGCCAATTTTATTTATAAAACCGGTTCTACCCTATAACCTTTGAATAGATCAACCTAAACCACGTGTCTTGAATTTAAATGACAAAAACATAAGGGGTGAACATGACACGTTTGATTTTACATGGGTTGAACTATAGGTTTGAAAAAAAGTATATACATATGAAAAAAGCCTTGACGTCAAAATCCATTTTTTGTCGTACATGTAATCAGATTTCTTGATCGCGCTTCATTTTTTTTAATGATCTCCAAACTCCTGATCAGAATTTTAACAAACTTGCACCACAACAAAGTCAAAATAAAATTGAAAAATTATATACAAAATCGAATTATTTTCGCTCTAATTATGGGTCCACTAAGGGGGTTGAACGTTGGTGTTATTTTTTTCTTCAATATTTGATTTCATGACTGCGCCGGGTACCCCTACCATTGCCACATTTATATATACTATTGAAGATAAAAGAAATAATATTTGTAAATTATATCATGCTTTTATCAGGTCTGGACGATTTCCAAATATTGAAGTCAAGAACGATAACTGAAAGTTGCTATAAATATACATCATGGACACGTATTTATTTTTCTGTCCAATCAGACAACAATATTTTAACACACTCCAAAACATATTTTAAAAGAACAAAAAGGTAACACGTGTTTTTGTTTTTTTCCTTAAAAAGATTTTTTTTTAACAAAAAATCTTTAGAAGTAGCATGAAAACTTTTGAAGAATAGGGTATTCCCCACATATTTACCGTGAACAACTTGACATTTTTATTTCGGTAAAGAAAAAAATATCCATGATACAATGCAATCGTTTACGGAGGAATAAATCACACCAGCAAGTTCTTATCAAGTTCAATTATAAGATTTACCAGAATATACTATATATTTTGGTAAATAAAATTTTGCTTAGCCGTCCGATTTTCATCGATGATGCTTAATTTCCATGTGTAAAGAGCCACCTCACAGTGTTTATCGTATGGACTACATATACATGTAGTTTTAAAATATCACGGGTTTGATGAGCACCGGGTTTCTAAACTAAGCAGACTTTTTAAATGTGCATAAGGAAAGATGTTAGCCGTAAAACGTGGAGAAAAGAGAATAATTATACATGATTGCGTTTTATCCCAATATCTTTATTATGATACCAGAAACTGCATGGACGATTTTGCTATAAACACTCAAAAATAATTAAGACTGTAATCAATTCGATGAAATGTTTATGTCGGGCTCTAAAAACTGAAAAATTTTCGTTTTTTTTTTTCGTTAATTTTAAACGTAAGTTAAACATTTTTTTCCGTAAGTTTTTAACGTAAGTTAAACATTTGGGATTGCTACCTCCTAGCGACAGATTTTTAATCCCACTTAAAACGTATTCTAAGCATTCAACTCGTGTTTGTTCACGGTAGAATTGTCATAAATATTATATTATTTCTAAATATGCATAAAGTTTACAAAAAGTTTGTTTTATAAAGATCTTTTGAGCAAAAAACTTTAAAACCGAGTGTTTTATTTTTTTTTCTTATGGGTTTGTTTAAATGCTGCTATCTGATTGGTCAGAAAGACTTACACCTGGTTATCGCTCTTGACTTCCTTATTTGGAAATCGTCCATACGTGTTTATGAATTCTCAATGTTTGTAAAACATATATGCAAATTTTCCCCGAAAGACGTTCATTTGAAAGTAAAATGTACACAAAGTCTCAATAATTTCCGAACAGCCCTCGTTTATGTCACTGACTTACTCGTATAACAATCTCAGAAAGTATGTTCTGATGGGTTTTTTTTTAGTTACATTACATGTACCGAATGATATGTTTTTAAAGTCTTACAAACCTCTGTTTCTATAAGTCTAAGGTGAGATAAAACATTTGATATAATTATACGCCTAAACGCGGTAAAACTGACTGTGAAGCAATTACAGAGAAAAACCTAGTTCATAGCTTTAACATGTTTCTTGTGAATTTATAGACTGAAAGAGCATAAGTGTTTTTATTATATATAATTGGAAGCAGTTCCGTATATTTGTTTCAATTTATAGTAATCGGTGCTTTCAATATAATCCAGTAGTATGCAAATTTTTGGGGAAAAGCATTATAACTCTTTAAATACAATTGAATTGAGAAGCATAAAAATAGGGATGGCAATTTGTAACTGGTAAACCGATTATGCTTTAGTCACATTTCCCGGCCGGTGGCCGTAGACCGGTGGTAATCGGTGGTAATCCGTGGCGTGAGCGATGCCCCAACATCGGTCCACATCGGCCTAATAGTCCTTAAAGTATCAGTCACATTATCCAGCGATGGGGTATACGATGGATAACAATTCGTTTTTGATAAAAATGGCGTGGTTGCCGGCCGGACTTACAAAGGTCCAGCGATGCATTGCTAATCATAAAACGATGTTCAAGGGACATGAATCGGCAGATGTATATTACATCGCTCATACATCGTTCGAACGTCGGTTGACTATGGGCCAATGTTTGGTCAAACATCGACCGATCATCGGCCGATGTCTGTTGCCCACCACTTAACCCCCCGATGACCTCAGATTTAACGGACATTTGACGATGCCCGGCCATTCATCGGCCAATCCTTGAAAAATGTGTTAATGATGGGTTGCCGATAAGGAGCGGTGAGGAGCATCGGTGGAGACATCGCTGAATTTTAACTACAACTTATTTTCTACCTATGACCCCCACCAATTCGCCAAATGGCCTCAGTAATCGTCCGTTACTATAGGTGTGCGGCGGGAAACCACGCCATTTTTATATAAAAAAAACGCAGCGGTTTCCCATCGTATACCCCATCGCTGGTTAATGTGACTGATACTTTACTTGGTCGGAACGATGTCAATCGTTTAGAAAATTTGTAATCGGAAAAACCCCAGTCACATTTCCAAAAACGACCAACGGCCGACGGTTTTTGAAGCAAAAATGGGATTCGTCGGGTGACAGTCGGCAGTTCATCGGCCGTTGTCTTGTCCGATTTGGACCTCTTTTTTTGTCGGCTGACCAATTTTGTGTCTATCGGTCCAAGTTATAATTTTTTTCTGCGTCGGTGGCCGATTTCTTCTATTGAATTATCCATCGACCAACCTTCGATCATTGTCCAACCATGGGCGGTCAATTTATTAAGTCGGTCGAACGTCGTTC